GGGATCTCACGCATTTTTCTTTTTCACGTGAGAACGCACTTAAAAAACAATCATTCTCATGCATTTTCCTTTTTCACAACATCTATAAAGGATCTAATGCATTTTCTCTTTACGTGAGAACGCACTTAAAAACAACCATTCTCACACACGTGAGATTGAGACGTAAAACCCTACAAGGGTTCTCACTCAATTTTCTTTTTCACGTGAGAACGCACTAAAAAAAAAAAAATCTCACGCACGTGAGATTGGGACGCAAAACCCTATAAGGGTTCTCACGCATTTTTCTTTCCACGTGAGAACGCTCTAAAAAACAATCATTCTCACGCACGTTCACGCATTTATCTTTGTAACCCTTGAAGTGTACTGTGTTACGTGAGAACACGCGTAAAACCACCCATTCTCACGCGCACGCGTGAGTTTGGCCGATTTCCAGGTCTAACTCACGTACGTGAGAATTACGTGAGCATGGTCATTTTTTGCCATTTTAAATACCTGTTAGCTGACCAGGTTTCATGATGAGTCAAATGTTTCAGAAGTCAAACTTGACCAAAAAAAGTGTTTAAAAGTAGGGGTTGGGCACTTAATCTAACGTACCAATACGTCTAATAGAGAAAATACTGTACAGTAATTACATTTATTAGAAGTCTATTATATTCTGTATGTTTAAACATTTCATGTGTTATACTGATTTCAATCTTTTTATTGTGAAAACTTGTGTGCTGTGGTTTTTGTGATATGTAGTCAATAAATATAAAAGTGTAAAAGTAAAATGTAAATGTAAAAGTATGCTAGAAAACACATAAAATATTCAGTATTTTAATATTTCTATATGTAATACTATTTTTAACCTAATTTTCTAGCATTGTTGCTTGCCTTGAATGTAATTAACAGTCTATGTTCTCCATTTATTCCTATAATGTCTATTATAGCACTGGCATATAGTAGATAATGGTGTCATGCACAATTAAATCATTTTCTGTCAAGTTTGTTATCCACTCATTTCAACCAAAAATGTTAAAAACATTTCGATCATTTCTGGTAATGTAAGGTTGCCTGGAGATGTATTATAAATGAGTAAAGCAACATAATAGTCACCATCATAACCTGAAGATTCCTAGAAAGTATGAATATACTTTCACTTTCCAAATGATTAGTTGTGCATGAACGATCTGTCACATTGAGGATTGATAAACTTATAGTTTCACTTCACTTTTAATTACTTTACTATAAAATAATATCATTATTATACCATATAGAATATGTGATAATTCATTTAATTTAAAATTACACATGTAATGAATAAATTTAGTTTATTCCTCATGATCATCAATGATATGCCTGCCCATATTATCAACTTCACATACTTTCTATAATGAATATCAAATAATTTCTTCACTGTGACATAAAACTACAGTATCTTAAGAATGTTGAAGCCATTCTTTTTTTTCTTACAATCATACATTAAATTTTGGCATGTAAGCATGATATTGGGTGTATTGTCTGTATGCATGTGTAAAGGTAGCTTCAGAAAAAAAAATATGATTCAGACATTTCTGAATGCTAAGCATGCTAACTGCCTATATCATTTGAAAGCTTAAATATAAGTGGATATGGTAGTGCATATGCTGTATCTGTGTACTTTTATTTTATTGTTTTGCAAAAGTATTTTAAATCCATTCTTTGCTGGAATTCTGAAAAAATTCTGAAAAAATTAAAACTTTGTCCTATTCAGTGCGAGCCAAAAAACCTAATGAAAGGTACAAGAGCAGAATTTTATATCTGTAAAAAAAAAATTTCCACATGCACTTTGTTTTTGCTTTTGGTATCTAGTGGTAAAAATGTACATGTATAGAGATCTGTATATTCCCTTCTAGTTTGATGATGTAGAATCAAAGTTTAGTTTGACACTTTAGGCAAGATTACAATTTGGATATACAAGTTCAGAATTTGATTTCAGCAAAGTATGGTGGTAAAATTCTGGTGGCATGAATTAAGTAGTATCATAGTTGGTGATATTGACTTTTTATTTGATTCAGGGTGGTATTTGGGGTCTGTGGAGGTAGATAAGAATGGTAAGTAAAACGGTGGCATTATTATTGTTTCTCATTAATCCTTTTGTTAGTGATACCACTTTGAATTTGCTTGCCTAGTATGTGCACACTAAACTCACAGCCAGCAGTTGCTTTTTTTTGGAAGAGTAAAATATGCAAAATGGAATCAGAATGGTATGGGGCACAGGGGAGCTGCTTTTCAGCACGTTGGCAAGTTGTCATAACCATCCTGTTATTCAGGACCACAATGGAGCAGGAAATACACCATTTATTTTGCTGTTTTTGCTGCCCTGAATGAACAGAATATGCTATTGCATCTATGAACATTCACAGCATTCATGAAACATGCAGTGTCCAAGAAACGTGCACAGCATTCATGAAACGTGCACAGCATTCATGAAACGTGCACAGCATTCATGAAACGTGCACAGCATTCATGAAACGTGCACAGCATTCATGGAACGTGCACAGCATTCATGGAACGTGCACAGCATTCATGGAACGTGCACAGCATTCATGAAACGTGCACAGCATTTATGAAACGTGCACAGCATTCATGGAACGTGCACAGCATTCATGAAACGTGCACAGCATTCATGAAACGTGCACAGCATTCATGAAACGTGCACAGCATTCATGAAACGTGCACAGCATTCATGAAACGTGCACAGCATTCATGAAACGTGCACAGCAATTCATGAAACGTGCACAGCAATTCATGAAACGTGCACAGCATTCATGAAACGTGCACAGCATTCATGAAACGTACACAGCATTCATGAAACGTGCACAGCATTCATTAAAACGTGCACAGCATTCATGAAACGTGCACAGCATTCATGAAACGTGCACAGCATTCATGAAACGTGCACAGCATTCATGAAACGTGCACAGCATTCATGAAACGTGCACAGCATTCATGGAACGTGCACAGCATTCATGGAACGTGCACAGCATTCATGGAACGTGCACAGCATTCATGGAACGTGCACAGCATTCATGGAACGTGCACAGCATTCATGGAACGTGCACAGCATGCATGGAACGTGCACAGCATTCATGAAACGTGCACAGCATTCATGAAACGTGCACAGCATTCATGGAACGTGCACAGCATTCATGGAACGCGTGCACAGAACTTTCGAGTTTAACTAAAAAAATGATAATTCACAAATTTGTCTGCTCATTGTATAAGCACCTATGAATGGCAAGCAAGCACTCCACGGTTCGATAGTTTGAGTTCAACAATTGGTGTCACTGGGATCATTCTAAGACCAGTCTTAATTATCATGAATCCAATGGAATAATCACATGGTAATATGAATGAAAAAAGTGCCATTGATGAAAATTCATTCAGCTTAGACACTGTACATGTGGGTCAGACAGTACCTATCACGATGTGTGTAACCACAAATGTCATGTATGTGTGGTCATTGTTTATCAATACAGTTTTCCAAATAGGTTGGTATGATGTGGATGCTTAAGAGTTTTCATGTTAGAACATGTTCTATTGCCAATGTATATTTATTAGCATAAGGCAAACAACTAAAACTTCACAAATAGGTCCATACCACTGCTTTATCTTAACCCTTTGAGTGTTTTAGACCAAACATTCTAGTTTTTGATCAAAAAATAGAACTGTTTTGTGGTTGCTGCCGAAGTTGAATTTGGCGCCCAAAGTGTTAAATTATTATAGTGTTTGACCTCAATTTAAAACAAAAAAGAAGGAAGTTTTCTAATTGATTAGGCCATGTAATATTTTTTCTCCATGTATTAAATTTGGAATCCACATAAAGTAATATGATGTATATCTCCTAAATTTGGTTCATGAACTTGCATTGACCTTGTTTTAAGTATTCACTCTATAAGTCCAAAGACTGTCATGAAACTCATCAACTGTAATACTCACTGCTTGAAATAAATCTTGGTTTTTAGCATATATAAAAATAAAAAAAAAATATTTTATTATCATTGTGAAGAACATATAGGATTAGTTGGTAGTTGATGAAAAATTTTTGGAACGAAGTGAGAAAACACAAGATCAAAATTAAAGAATCAAAAAAATTTACATGGAAACAATACGGTTTTAAAGTTATTCAATGTTTTATACGTTACGAATCATGGGGATGATTTCTCAGAATACAAACATTAATTGTTGAGACTTTAATAAACTTTGAACTATTTCGATTTAGGTGCAACTGGTAAGTGCTTAGATCACTGTGGACTAGGATATTGGATGAAAGAAAACAAGGAATGTGTTGCCTGTAATGCTGACTGCTTAGATTGTGTTCATAGTGCCAATGATTGCATCAAGTGCAAATCACCCATGTTTTTACTCAAAAATGTAAGTACTGCTTCTGTCTTGAACATAAATAATACAATATTGGGTGAATTTATTAGTAATTATTTCTTTTATATCTCCATGGTCAATCAAAAAAACCATTCATATTTACATACATATAATAGACAAGACTATATACATATATTGTATTGGCTATTAATAATAAGCAATGATAAATAAAATGTATCTTTTAATTTTTCTCTTCAAAGTGTTGTTTTTGGAGTATAATATTCAAATTTGTTAGTGCCATAAACACCTTTCATGAGAGAAACCCACATAATTTTTGTCATATTTTGGTTTATTTTGATCTGTAGCAAATCGAAATTATGTTTTTTTGGTCCAAAATTAACAAAGAAATGAAAGTAAAAATATATAGCGTCCAACATATTTTTACATGCTTCGTATGTTTTGAAGACAA